AATTAGTAAATTATTTAAAATTTATACTGTAACTACATGGATCACTAATTAAATTATAGTACAGTATTATGTAGTGAAGCTCTTCCAATTCCCAATATTGAATTATATTATACACAAACATCTTGTACATATACATGTACACATACCTTTTTACAACTAAACTGACCAGTAGTGATATCATCAAATAATAAACATTCAGTCACTAGTTGATTGTTATGATCCATTCAACCAATCACTACTAGTGCAGGTGAGCTAGAGTAACCATTGATAATGCACTAGCATGATTAAATCTCTCCTTAGGCCAGAGTCCCTCACCAGATATTGATCCTTTTTTAATACTCTCCCAATGCTAAATACATAAAACATAAACATAATAACATATAAGGTAAAACAAGTAATTTAAATAAATTTATCAGTAATAATTATATCTGCTATTTTGATAAACTTATGGTAGAAAAAGTTCTATGAGATTCATCACTGTCATAATAATAATAACTTACTATTGTATAATGTGTCACATTAAATAAGTACACATTATTAGTCTCTGTATTAAAACCATCAATAGTTAATGTTCCTCCAAACATTATTCCATTATATTGATTCATTTTGTTGATTACAAATTCACTAGTTGGTGGGCAACACTGTCCACTGACAGATGGAACAGTGAATTGTCCTAAAATACAATAAATGTAAATCAACTGTTATACCTTAAGACACACTCACACAATTGATAAAAAGACACTCACCATTAGATAGATTATAAAGTAACTGTTCATTAGTAAGAAAACGTCCATCCTTAAGCTGATCATAATGAAACTGAGGATGTTTGAAAGCTGGTGTAGTATCTAACCCTCCGACCATGAAAAGATAGTCAGTTCCTTCAAATTCCAGTGATAGCATTCCAGCATAGGCTTTCTTCATCATGGACTCATCATTAGGATGCAATTGAGTCCAGCTCATGGTCAGTGTATTTAGTACATTTAAACTGCTGTGGCAACAATCATCATGACCACAGTAGCCAGCATAATAATAAATATTAGAACGAAATGTGGTACAGGAGTAGCCATTAACTCCTAATGGAGGAGTGCCTCTTGTTAGGTGAGAGGACCAGCGAGCTGATGAAAAGGAAAATGTCTCAACTGTTGAGGTCAGTTTCCTCTTTTGAGGTGAATCGTCATGTCCAGCAATGAGTGGACGCGGATTAGTATACTGAGCAATTATCTCCGTATACTACTGGTTGACTTTATACAGGGCAGGAATGGACATTTCCATTTACTAGGCTATATCTTTCTTCAGAATAAGTCTCATCAATTTGCGCACTTCAGTAGCTGTTGTCCATAATTATACCTGTGTTCCTGCTAAATATGACAGCACTTGGAGTAACTTTGTGTGGAACATTTACAGATTAAAGATGAGGCAGTCAGTGCCGCCATTTTGTCATTCCTTTATGTATGTATGATATTTTTTTACTTTTTGAATGGTTATATCTAAATTTCAAACAATTTTTGACAAATTGCGCACTTATTTTGTGAAAGTACAACATTTTTACTGCCCAATCATGCAAAAAAGATAAAGAAATTCAAAACTTTGTTCGGTACTTTAGTCTTCTAAAGGTGAAATAATTTTAGTCGTCTCAGTGATAACGGGTGTAGCAACAAGAGTGAACAAGTGCTTTTCTCTTCTCACGGGAATAATAAAGTAAAACTAAGAGTGCTTAACAGCTATACAAGCAAATCATGTCTCTAGATCCTTTTAAAGTAATAACAAGAAGGCCTTTTGTTAGTGGATGAGTCTTCTTGCGCCACGCCTGCCACTTTAACAATAGAATATAAAAAAACTACCATAACCAATTGCATTAAGTAGCATTCAAGAAGCTCCAAGTATCTAGTGAAGTCCCATCCATGAACCAGAAAGACGTTAGCAGGCTTTGTAGTGAAGCTTCCTATCAATCCACCATTGCTGAGCTGCCGTTGCTATGGTAATTCCAATGAATATCATTAAATTAATGCGACCGGAAGTCCCATTGCAATAGCTGGACATGTGTACCGTCGGCTTTAGGTAAATCAAACTGGCTCCCTCCCCACAGGTAGAGTGACCCTCCTATTACTGGAACTGAGTGTTCAGTCCTACCTTTGAACTTATAAATACCTGTAAAGG